AAGGGTTGAATTACAGGGAGAAGCAAGGGGAGTCATTAAGGAATGTTGAAGTAAAAGTAAAAGGGAAAGGCTGCCGACAAAAGTGAGACGTTCGGAGGACATTCATCTCTTCTCTATTGCCCTAGGTGTCAGGGTAGAGCTGAAGATTTGAAAAAAAATGAAAAGTGTGAGTTTTGCCGGACGTTTGTCATCATCCGACATCTTATTTCGGCTTGCTTAACGACAAATGGAAAACTGACGATGATGTGACGACAAAAACGAGTTTAAACTGACTCTGAACCTAGCAAGGACATTCTACAAGCGACGTAAGTAGAGGAAATAAGTTGAAAGAAAGTTTGAATGAACATTGGGGTAATATTATTTTAATGACATAGAGCGTTTCATTTGAAGCTGCCGGGATGTGTTCATGGCACTCTTTCGCACCTTTGAAGGGATAATCATATCATCTTCTACCTTTTGGTTCTAGGGAAGCATGAGCAGATACTTATTGGAGACTGTCAGTCATTGACTAGTTATACAATCAATAAGTATCGAAATCTGGTATGTTTTGTGACGAACACGCACAGCTATTATGAGAAGCTGGGTTGAGAGACGAAATGAGACGTCAGAGCTGAGGAATACAGTCAGAAAAGCTTCTAGGAAACGTCATAAGGTGCGAATGCTTAATTTCCCTTTGAATAAATATATCAAATGGAGCATTTTATAGTTCGTGATGATTGACCACATAGAACGTGGTCATCAATTGAGTCAATTCAGTTCAAATCCATAGGTTGGTCAAGATTCACATGAATCTAGCCACTTCATCATCTGTTTGTACGTCTTTCTCTCTTTCTTTCTTTCTCTCTCTATTCTATACTTCTATCTTTATATATTTCCTTGTTTACGTTTCCGTAAGGCATAAACAACATATATGGACAATCGTGAAGTGCGATTGCGAATATGTAAATAGCCAAGGAAGCCGAAAGTTGTTTGCGATTCAAATAGTACACACTGAGTTTGATGAGACGAGGTGCAACACAGAGACAAACTAATGACCTGAGGGTCATATTCAAAAATTGCAAAAATTAAAAAAGGGGATTTTTGAGAGATGCATAATTAAGGAAAATTTTATATATTCATATTGAAGACGTCAAATGGCTTCATATGGCTTGCAAGCTCACAATTTCAATATTTGTATTGACGACGATAACGACAAAATCACTTTATTGGTACCTGTACGTGCTCGTCCCCGCGACCCCAACAAAACCTGTTTTGGACCTTTTTTTTTCTTTTTTCTTCGTTTCTCTTTCTTTCTCTCGAAAAAGGTTATGTTTTAGACACCTGTATTTCATCAACTGTCAAGTATCAGAATGTCCCTCGTTCAAAAAATCTCTGTCTCTCTCATCACTCTCTCAATCTATCATTATCTATATGACTCTATGACTTAAACACTATCTGTTTCTATCTTTCTACATATTTTACTATTACAATCATCTTCTTTTGTTTCACATTTCTAATTTTTCTTTGATGATGTTTCGTTTCTAATTAATGATCATGTACAGGTAAGCCAAATAAGCTAAGATGACCAGGTGATGCTTGAAAGTTTCACAAAACCTGTTGCCATCACAAACACGTGAATGCGTTAAAATATTTTGAAAAAAAAAAAGAATAAAATTCGAGAAATTGCAACTCGACGAGAACTGGTAACTGTTGCAAACGATGATTACGATGGGGGAACGAGGGTTGGTTTGTTGGCAGAAAATCCGGTCATGTTAGCCGAGACTGACAGTCACAGAATTAGACAGAGAGGTTAAATTGTAAAACGAGGGATGGTGAGGGGCTGAGGGAAATACCAGAGAAGAAAAAATCGTATGATAAGAAGCAATTGGGAAAATATTGAAGCTGGAGAACAGAAGAGCAAAGGGAGGTCGTAGATGATGTCTGAGAAGCTAAAAGAACTATTGTAAAGGTGGCGGGAGGGGGGGAGGAAGTATGAGAGAGCCGTTGAGATGACGAATGATGAAGAAGTTAAGATAGTAAGTGGTAAAGTAATTTTTGAAGGAAAAGTTACGAAATGAGAAAATGTAAAACATGAATGTTCAGAGTGGGCTGGCAGATTATTCTTTGAGACAGAACAAACAAGCTGAAACAGTTAATTCAACAAATAAATTCAGAAATTGAAATTGGTTGGTTACAGCTCAAACAGATAATTTTAGATTTTTTTCAAAGAATAACAGAGAAATATGTGAAATCCATTAGAGAGCAAATGAATTTACTGGCCATTCAATGAGTCCTGGGACGACGGGGTTCATTCTGTTGGAACAAAGCGTCTTCTCACTTTCAGGTTTTTGCCATTCTTTGCCTCTTTCAGTAATCGCATTGAACGAAAAAGAGAAGATAAAACTAGGAGAATTAGAGAACATAAGTGAAAAAATACTATCAAAAGAGCCGACCGGTTGGTTGCCATTTTCGTGTTGATTATGTTACGTCTCGTTTCTGACAACATCAGGCATTCATCTTTTCCTTCTATGTTGTCCCTTCTCTCTCTCTATGTCTTCTTCTCTCTCTGTTGATGATTACTAGCTAGAGATACTTTTAGTACAATCACAAATCGATTTATTGTATGAAGTAATCCATGCCTGTTATCCAAGTCATGATCTACTAAGTGTTCTAGAATTCAGCAAGTTCATTTCATTTCTGTGAGCAACCCGACTGAACTTCACAATTGTTCTTACATCTCTGAACTTTCTCTCCGTATAACGGATATATTTTCTCTTTCACATGTACGAGGTCATTGAAAAGAATAATAAAGGGAAAAGATAAGTAAGCGTACCTCTTCCAAAATCTTTCTTTATCGTCGCATGGTCAACACCCGGCTGACCCTCAGAATATGGAAAGGTCACAACTCTACCGAAATCTTCTATTAAGGCAGAAGATTTTGTTGTGCATAATTTGGTAGGAACATCAGAGAGAAAGATGAAGAGAGAGAAAGAAAGAGAAGTAGACGGACAAACAGGGAATTGAATGCATAGAGAGATGAAGGTATGGAGGGGGGAAGAGAAAAACGGATAACAGGGAAAAAAGTAGGAAGGTAGTAGTAGTGGGGGGGGGGATGAGTGAAAGGGGATATGAAGGAATTGATATGAATTCAAACAAATAAAGAGGGACAACAATCGCAGTTGATGATAATTGAAGGAAAAAATTGATTTGTAGGATTGTCATCAATGAATGTTCGTTGACGTTGAAACATTTTCTTAAACTATACACATAGTTAATAAACAAAACATTCGTTCGTTTTTTTTCGTGTCAAAACATTTTTTGTGTTGAAAGTCTTTGTCTCGTTAACGCCTGAGACGAACATTTGTTTATTTCTTATCACAGACAATGACCGTCGTCATCTTCTTTGAGCTTTTACTGTTTGATTTTCGTTTTTTACATATATAGTCGTTTATTAATCATCAAGTTCATTCCAAAGATAGTAATCTTCTCTTCCGCCACCCATACGTAGTACGTACTAACTTACGTGTCTTCTCACGCAATGGCACGGAAACCAAAAACTTCTTAAATTTCATCTCATTTAGATGATCAGCTCAGAGAATAGTTTCATGTTTGAAAAATCCTTTGAATATTTTTAAAATTAAGTTTTTTTCAAATGACTTTTGGAAGTTCTTATCACTTCTAACCTATTCAGTTAGTTTCGTTGCTTACACTCCAAAACCAGTTGATAATTCCGAATAAGGAACAACTGGAATGACTGGTTGCAAAATTCGAGAATGACTTGGCGTGACCCTCGTGATCTTCAGCAAGGAAAAATGGTTGAGCAAAAAAAAGAATCAGAAAGGCAACAGGAACGAGAAAAATGAAATAATACAGATGCCACGTGTGAAGTCGAACAAAGAATAGATTTAAGAATTAAAAATTAATCAAATGAAAAGACATGTTACGGCACGGAGAGGTCTTTATTGAGATTCATTTCTTAGTGAACAAACGGTATGTTAATCCGATAATGGAACAGACATCTCGTATCCTAGCCTGTCTAGCATAGGCTTCAGAGTTTCGTGGAAAGTATGTCGACTGAGAAAAAAATATTTTTTTTACCTGAGCTACTACGGCCAGAAAAAGCAAGCCAACACCTAATCGCACCATAGCTTGAAACGCGTTATCATCATTTAGTAGAGCAATTCATCTGATTAGGTAAGAGATAGAGAGACTGAGCATGGGAAGTGAATGAGAGAGAGAGAGGTAGAGAGGAATTGGTGATTCTACCTGTTTTCAATGGCTATTCTTGCTTCTT